AATTTAATAGTCTAGGAATATATATGTAGAATGAGAACAACACTTGCGTTGGGCTGGCTCTTGTTCTGGACTCTGTGTGGTCAAAAGGCCGCTAGGATCTCTCCGTTTTAGAGTTGGAATTGGATTCACCCTATGCATGATGTCATTGGGAATCTAGGTTGTGGTTTGAGTCTTTAGTAAAGATAGAGAATCAGTCACAAAAAAATCATATATTCAATAAAATATTCAATAAAATGTTATATAAATACTTATATTTATAAAAAACAATTTAATGAGTCCTAACAAGTAACAACGATAGTCTCCTGATCCCGATTTTGATGTATGAATGACCAAGTTAAAATAGATTATGAGTCTGACATGAAATATTTGGTCAGAATTGACTTAAATATAAGGCAAAAATGACGACACATAAATTAAAATCGGGATTAGGAGGTTGTGAATGATTTGTCTTGACTTATCCAATCATTTTTTTACAAGTAGGTGTATTTATACGACACTTTACTGAACATATGACATTATTTGACGATTTCGTAATATTTGAATATAGGGAAAATGTCTTATTTGTAGTGCTGGACTTGGGCCGGAAACCCCTCGGATCGGGCCTACCTGGACCGGTCACTGGCCGGGCCACCGGTTCGGGCTGGGCCAGAACAGTGCCGGTCCCAGACCGGTTCCGGGTCGGACCACCCGGCCCGAGTCCACCACTACTTATTTGACCCTTTTCCCTATGGGATATGTTTTTTATACTCTCCAATTTTGTTACTCCGTATTTTAGTTTGAAATGTTTTAAAATATTGAGAACTCTAAAATATTTTATTAGATAAGTATGCTTCGTATTAATTGTTCACAATATTTGAAAGCAAGAATACACCTGATTTAAAGATTTTTAATTTGATTCAGGGCGGCTCTAGAGGGGTGCAAGGGGGACGGTCGGCCTAGGCAAAAAAAATTGAATAAAAAATAGACCCACGTTTAGTTCTTTGTAATAGATGTGAGTAGACTGATTTTTCAACCCTACATTTACAATTGTTCGGGTAGATTGTTGAAGTTCTTCGGAATGCTTTTTTTTTTTACAAAAACTTATGATCATGTTCTCTATGAATTGTAGGTTATGTAAAAAAAATAGTTGAAAGTTCAAATTAGAGAGTTTTTTTTTCCAAAATAAGGCTGAATAAAAAAATATTCACGAAATTGATATTTGGTTAACTGTATTTCCCAAAGTAATGTTGGAGTAAGACCACTTGGAGTGGTGTAGGATTAGGAGTCTAAAATGTTAAAAGTGGAATTTTTGGACTCCTAATTCCTTGTAGTGGTTGGCAAAGTGGGAGAGTAAAAATGGGTAATGGGATGGAGGGTTCTATATGGTGTAAGTTGAATCCCCCTTGCATATGGGTGCCGCCTATTAAAGCGGTAATGGGATGGAGGGTGAAGTTGAATCCCTAAAATGGTGCCACCTATTAAAGCTAACAAGGGTGAAGTTGAATCCCTAAAATGGTACTCCCTTTGTCCACTTTTAAATGTCTCATTTTACCATAATGGGATGTCCCTTTTTAATTGTCTCATACATTATTTGGTAAAGTTTGTATGGCTCAAAATTATTCTTACTTTATTCTTACTTTATTCTTACTTTATCAATTAATATCAACCACACAAAACCACTTTTCTTAAAACTCGTGCCACCCTCTTCCGAGACATTTAAAAGGGGTCGGAGGGAGTATTTCTATGGTCTTTTGTTCCTATATCAATATCAATATCCAATCAAAAATAGAATCTAATAAAAGCAAAAAGGTATAAAAATAACTAAATAATTGTTATATATAATGACATGGCAAGATTATGTGGTGCTTTAAATGTCCTTAAAAGGTTTCTCTTATATATATACATATATATATTGATGTCTGAATTATGAAATTAGAAATTAAAATTTGGCCGAAATTTAAAGTTAAATATAGTATTCTATGCAATACTCCATATAATCTGGTTGGGAAGAATGAAAATGTGATGTTCTTTCCAAATAAATTACTCGATATTTAATCTGGAAAATATGATGAGATGATGGTGGAAAATATAGTCTAGTGATGAGCCTAATGTAGTTATGAGAGATGATGGAAAATATAGTCTAGTGATGTACGGTCATCATTCATCAATTTTTATGCGTAGTCATAATTGTTTAAAGTTAAATATAGAAATATAGTATTCCATCATCTGGTTTGGAAGGATAAAATCATGATATTAGAAATTAAAATTTGGCCGAAATTTAAACATAGTATTCTACATAATACTCCGTAGAATCTGGTTTGGAAGGATAAAATCGTGATGTTCTTTCCAAATAAATTAGTCGATATTTAATCTGGCCAAAATTATAATTACGTATATTAAAATAATATGATATGACAGAGTTATGTGACATTCTGTATGCTCTTATATATATATATATATATAAGATCATCTCATAAAACACTAATACTTCATAGGTAAACATAAAAAAATAATTTAGCGTATTAAGAGGTTTTTTAAACGGAAGAGGTTTCATATGAGAAAACTTTAAAACATTACAATTTTTAACTAATAAAGTAGAATGGGGGTGTTCGGATAACGAGGTTTAAACAAAAAATGGAAAATTTATCCCTTTTAGCATTTTCGTCCAATGCATTAGAATGGTTTTATTCTTCGACTTACGCACAATATTGATTTCATATGAAATGTAATAAAAAGTACTTCCTCCGTATTTAAAAGATGACTACGTTTGGTTATGACTCAAGATTTAAGGGAGAATAGTAATAGTAATGAATAGTATAGAAAAAGTTGGAGAGAAATATTATCAAAATAAAGATTATGAGTTTTGAAAATTCCACTCATAAGCAAATTAGTTTGATATGATTATTTGAGTAGTTTATTAACCGATTTCATTCATAGTTGATTGTTTGATATCTTAATGGTTGATTGTTTTCTATTAAGTGTTGGTGTTATAACTTGTAGATTTTGTTAGACAAACATTTTCAATCATGATAACATTTATTAATTCAATTAATTTCAAGGTGTAATACAAAGGATTGAATCTAAATATGATAAATAAAAACAAGGAGAAAATTAGAGAAAGCGGCGCCAAGCAAAAAAAATTCAATGGAAAAGTTTACTTGTTTAAAGAAATTAAATTCTCAATGTCACCTTCAAGATGAGAACTCATAGAAGAACAATAATTCAACTACTAAATGTAAAATGATTCAGAATGATTACATCATTAGAGGGGATAATTTATGAGGTGATAATAATAGAGTTAATTTCTTAAATATGACTTAAACATTTGTATAGTGTGCATATGGGATCATCATTGTTTCCTTCCTAAATAAGGATCACCAATACTATAATATGATTGGTTTAGACAAAACATGGTTTTACAAATTTTTATAAATGTCTTGAAGTATTATTATTATTATTATTATTATGCATGCCAATTTAGATAGAAAAGAGTTTTACAAGTTTTTGAAACATTGGGCCCATTTTAATTTTTCGTCCCTAAACCTTTGAACATACAGGGCCTCCCCTGATTTCAGGGGCGTAGCTACTAGCTAGGGGGTGGCCACCCCTGGCCCTGGCCCAACCCAAATTTTAAAAATGCCTATATTTTTAGTGTAAAAAATTCTGTGCAAAATTTTTCCAAAAATATTATTTGTATCGACCCAGCCCGATCCAGTGTCCTGGCCGCCCATTTGATTGGTTTCAATGCCAAGTCCAACTAGACTCATTGGAATATATCAAACTAGACGATATTGAAAACGAACATACAACAAACATCTATCAAATTAGACTAAATAATTTAAGAGTGAATTCCCTAAATAGGACTAAAAAGTGGAAAAATTGCACAAATAGGACTACATTTTTTAAATTCCCTTAATAGGACTATTTATGTGTGTTTGGACAAATATACCCTTGTAACTTGTGAAATGTTTTAATTAATAATAAAATCATAAAAAAATTAATAAAAATCGAAAAAAATACTAAAAATCGTAAAAAAAAATAATAGAAAATTAATAAAAATATTTTTTTTAAAAAAATAAAAAATATTTTTTTTTAAAAAAATAAAAAAATAAATAAAAAAAATCATAAAATTAAAAAAAAACACATTACCACCCCTGCCACCCCCAACACCACCATCTCCCATCACCGGACAAAAATATGCCAACATTTTAAATAATGCCATAATGATGGCATAATCAATGAAAATGTTGGCATATTGAAGAGTAATTATGCCATCTTTTTGGCATTTTCAGAAAAATATGGCATTTTTTTACCAAAAGTGGAAGAAATTTCACCAATCGGAGGTGGTGGTGCTGGGAGGCGGCGGGAGGCGGTGAGAAAGGTATCCATAATTTTTTTCATTTTTTATGGGTTTTTACTATTTTTTATTATTTTTTTAAAAAAATTAAAAAAATAAAAAATTAAATTTTTTATTTTATAAATGTTTTATAAATTTTTTTTAATTTGTTTACGTTTTTTAAATATTTTTTTACGTTTTTTGTGATTTTATTATGAATTAAAGCATTTCATTATGAATTAATACTCTTAGGGGTATTTAGGGTAGAAAATCAATGTTTAGTCCTATTTAGGGAATTTTAAAAATAGTAGTCCTATTTGTGCTTTTTAGGAACTTTTTAGTCCTATTTAGGACAATTTCCGATAATTTAAGTCTATGCAAAAAGATCTAACCCATGGTTTGTTGGAGACTTGGAGTTCATGGGCGGAGCTAGGGGAGGGCCATCCCTGGCCCTGGCCCAGCCCAAATTTTAAAAATGCTTGTATTTTTAGTGAAAACAATTCTATGTAAAAAAATTCAAAAATATTCTTTGTACCGGCCCAGTGCGGCCCAGTGCCCTAGCTCCGCCCCTGAATGGAGTTGAATGCTTATACGATTAAATAAATAACTTTTGACCTTACACTTTTCACTTTCATAATTCTTAATTATAATGTAAAGTAAAAACTTGTAATAGAAAAAATGTAATGAAAAAATGAGTGGAACATAGGGTGTGCCCGGTGTGGAGAGAGTACTAAAATATAAGCCACACAATGAAGCAAAAAGCTAAATTGTTTAGTTTTATTAAACAATTTGATATCTACACCTCCTCTCCTTTATCCATTACCAATACACATACGAAGTACATGGGAGGTTGAAAGTCAAAAAAAAAATAATTGCAGACCTCATCTACCATGCCGCAGATTTGTTGATCAACTTCATGTCATCTCTCAGCTGATCATACCAATCTCGCGATTCAGTTTGATACACTTTGGAAGGACTGGAAGTGTACGTCCTCCAGGATTTAGTAAGACCACTCAAGGATACAAAAATAAATAATAATAATAATAATAATAATAATAACAACAACGACGATGATTATGACTCAAAGTCCAGTCTTAGAAAAGCTGAAAGAGAACCCCACCTTTAAAGATAGTAAATTCCTTTTGTTCATAATATTATATAAACAAATGGCACACTTGATATATATTATTGTATCAGAAACTCTGATTCCTCTACAATGCCATCATCCTCTTTGTCTTCATTTCATTAATCCAGTTTCTATGCTGAGGACTGGCCGCTGCAAAGCGATTAAACTTGTAAATGAAAATGCCCCCTCCTACTTATAAGTCAGACATTTAGGTTGATCCCAAACAAAATTGCTTTGGAATGTGCTATTATTTGTTAAATCTAGAATGGTTTCTTTTATCTATGAAAATGCCTTTCCAAGACATCACATACTCCTTTCGTCTCATTTTGGTTGTCTTACTTTCCCAAACAAAATTGCTTTGGAATGTGCTATTATTTGTTAAATCTAGAATGGTTTCTTTTATCTATGAAAATGCCTTTCCAAGACATCACATACTCCCTCCGTCCCATTTTGTCTGTCTTACTTTTCTTTTTGGGTTGTCCCGAAATAGATGTCATGTTTCCTTCTTTGGTAAAAAACTTGTGGTCCATATTATTTCACTTCATTCTACTCAATTCTCAACCACAAATTTTACTTTTCAACCACTTTATTAAGAACCGTGCCAAATAGAAATGGGACAACCATTATGAGACGGAGGTAGTACTATTTTCTTAACAAAAATAATCTCAATTTTCTATGTTTCACAGGGCCTAGACTTTGGTGTAGCTCATTATGAGTTATTGCCTTATCAATAATTTAATAAAAGACTACCATATTCATATATGATTTCTTAACATATTTAGTTGATTTGTAATAATGTCTTGATTTGTATATCCCTTAATATCCTCTTGTATTTATTTCCCCTTCCTTTTGTACTCCCTGGACTCTTGTATAAATTGACATAATGTAAAGGATTCCCACAAGGGGATTTTACTCAATCTCCAATATGGTATCAGACTAGGTCGGTCCATCCTGTGTGGTTTTCTTACCGTCTTCCCTTCTGCCTTCCAACAATGGCCGGTGAATCCGCCGCTGCCCGCACACCCGTTCATCCAGCCCTTACTCTCACCAACATCAAAACACATATCCCTATCACTCTCGATCTCAAAGACGATGAGTATACTTCTTGGGTGTTCTTATTCGAACTCCATCTTGAGGCTCACAACCTCATGTTTCTCATTAAGGGTGATGCTGCCCCTAGCACCATTGATGGCCCTACCGCCAAACAGCTTGATGCTCTCGTTCGTCAATGGATGTTTTCCACCATGTCCAAGGACTTGCTGCTTACCGTCCTCAAATCCGGTAAAACTGCCAAGGATCTATGGGATCGCCTCAAGACTCTTCCAGGACAACAAAGGCACTCGGGCGGCTCTTCTCGAAAGCAAGTTTGTTAACTTAAAATTCACCGAGTGTGCTGATGTTGATGATTACTGTGACAAGCTTCATAAACTGGCTGAGCGTCTCCAGGACCTTGATTTCCCGATGGATGACAAGCGTATGGTTATTCAATTGGTCAATGGCTTGCCTCCAGAATATGATACTGCAACATCCTTTATCTCCCAGGCTATGCCTCCGTTTGAAACAGCACGGTCACACCTACGCACAGAGGAACAACGCCGCCGGGCCCAACAACAATCAGCCGCACCTTCAACTGCTCTGGCAGCTCAAGAATCGAATCCTGGCGCTGCCTTCACTGCTTCCTCTGTTCGTCCGGCGACCTCTGCTCGTCCGACGTCGTCTCGATTTCCGGCTAACCCTGGTGGCCGTCGCAATCGATCGAAGCATAGACGACCCCCTGCAGCAGCTACAAACGGTCAACACTCCTCTGGACGAAGCTCGGTTCCCGGTGTCCCTCAGGCTGGGGCGTTTCCCGGTTATCCCCCTTGGCCGCCGTACTGGACAATCCCTCCATGCCCTTACCCGACGGTTCCCTTCTGGCCCGCGGCTTCTCAGCGTCAAAACGCACGCCCTTCTTCTATCCAGGGTCATGTTCAAACAAGCCAGCCCAATTTTGACTCAAATGATAAAGGTCGGGCCTTTGTTACTCATACGGATGAAGTTTTAAAGCCCGAGGATATTACTGAGGCTTATAGCTCCTTATCTTTGCAGCAGCCCGATGATTCTTTCTACATGGACACCGGGGCCACATCTCATCTCACGGCTAATCCAGGTACCTTGTCACGTGTCTTTAATAATAACATTGTTCGCTCAATTTTGGTTGGTAATGGCAGTCAAATTCCAGTTATTGCCTGTGGCACCAAAATCGTACCTCTCCCTGACCGCAACCTATATCTCAAAAATACCCTTGTTGCCCCACATATTATCAAAAACCTCGTGTCTGTCCGTAAATTTACCATTGACAATAATGTTTCTGTTGAATTTGACCCAACTGGTTTTTCTGTGAAGGATCTGACTACGGGGACCCGTATTATGAGATGCAATAGTTCCGGGGAGCTATATCCTATTACTGGAAATGATGTGCCTACCACAACCACTCCTGTCTCTCTTGCTGTTGTGTCGCCCGAACTTTGGCATAAGCGACTAGGTCATCCTGGACAAGCTGTTCTTAATTTATTACGTAATCAGTCTTTAATTAAATGTAATAAAAACAAGGTTTTTAACCTTTGTCACTCTTGTCAAGTTAGTAAGCATGTTCGATTACCTTTTTACCCCTCTGGGACTAATACTACTGCTCCTTTTGATATTATTCATAGTGACTTGTGGACATGCCCGCTTAATAGTAATACTGGTTTTAAATATTATCTTATTTTATTAGATGATTTTACAAATTATCTCTGGGTGTATCCCCTTAAACTCAAATCCCAAGTTTTTGGCAAATTCCTTGAATTTAGTAGATTTGTTCGCACTCAATTTGAAAAAGAAATAAAATCTTTTCAGTGTGACCTGTGACGTGAATTTGATAACTCTGTTTTTCATACGTTTGCCAAAGAACGTGGGTTTGTATTTCGGTTTTCTTGTCCACAAACATCACCTCAAAATGGTAAAGCTGAACGTATGATTCGTCGTATTAATGACATCACCCGCACTCTTATGACCCATGCCTCCGTACCTCCCAAATATTGGGTTGACTCTCTTTATATGGCTGTTTATCTTCATAACATCCTCCCCACCAAAACCTTAGCCTTCCGCTCTCCTGTATTAGCTCTGTATTGCCGTCAGCCCACATATGACCACATTCGCACCTTCGGATGTCTATGCTACCCAAACTTGAGCTCCACAGCTACCAATAAAATGGCTCCCCGGTCCACTCGTTGCGTCTTTCTCGGGTTCCCACATCAACATCGCGGGTATCGTTGTCTAGATTTAACTACTGAAAAAATCATTATATCTAGACATGTTACTTTCGATGAGTCAGTTTTCCCATTTGCGGATCTACCATCTCCACCCACCTCATCCTATGACTTCTTATCACCCAACCCCCTTCTACTTCATAATCTTACCTGCCCGGAACCCATACATCCGCAACCCAACTCTCCACCCATCTCTACCCCTACACCCACTCACACACAAACTCAGAACAATCTCTCTCCACCCCCTACTCCGCCACCCCCCTCTCCCTCGCCTCCCCCTCCCCCTCCCCCTCCTCCCCATTCCACTCACCCCATGGCCACCCGTGCCTCCCATGGCATTTTTAAACCTAAACCCATATTTGACCTCCATGTCCAAAGCCCTGCTCCCATCTCCCCACTTCCACGCTCTCACCTTTCTGCTATCCAGGACTCTAATTGGAAGACTGCCATGCACGATGAGTACAATGCTTTATTAAAAACACGTACTTGGGATTTGGTTCCCCGTCCCCCCGGTGCTCATGTTATACGCTCTATGTGGTTATTTCGGCATAAGTTTCGCTCAGATGGATCCTTAGAGCGTTATAAAGCACGCCTAGTAGCAAATGGAAAATCTCAACAGGTTGGCATTGACTGTTTTGATACTTTCAGCCCGGTGGTCAAGCCTGCTACGATCCGTACGGTTCTTACCATTGCCACATCTCGAGCATGGCCTATTCATCAATTGGATGTTAAGAATGCATTTCTTCATGGGGACTTATCTGAAACCGTCTATATGCATCAGCCCCCTGGCTTTACAGACCAAGCTCGCCCGAATCATGTGTGCCTTTTACGCAAATCTCTTTATGGCCTAAAGCAAGCACCCCGTGCATGGTTTCAACGATTTGCTACCTTCATTACAGGTTGTGATTTTCGGGGCAGTAAGTGTGATTCCTCTCTTTTTGTGTATCATTCTGGATCAGACACTGCATACCTCTTACTCTATGTGGACGATATTCTTCTGACTGCTTCATCTGGTGCACTACTCCAGCGATTTATTACTTTAATGAAGCAAGAATTCTCCATGACTGATCTTGGCTCCCTACATCACTTTCTTGGTCTTACTGTGACTCGCTCTACATCCGGTTTGTTTTTGTCACAATCTCTCTATGCTCGAGATATCATTGCCCGTGCTCATATGACCAACTGCAAACCTGTGACAACACCCGTGGATACATCTGCTAAACTTAGTGCCTCATCTGAGTCCCCTCCAGTTGACTCCACATTATACCGCAGTCTTACTGGAGCACTACAATACCTGACTTTCACACGCCCAGATATATCTTATGCTGTCCAGCAAGTGTGTTTATTTATGCATGATCCCCGGGAAGTTCACTTTCAAGCGCTTAAACGGATCTTACGATACCTACAAGGAACAATTGATCATGGACTGTATATATCTGCTGGCCCTATCTCTGGCCTCACTGCATACTCCGATGCTGATTGGGCCGGCTGCCCTGATTCTCGCCGATCCACATCTGGGTTTTGTATATTTCTTGGGGACAACCTCATTTCTTGGTCCTCAAAACGGCAACCTACTGTCTCCCGGTCCAGTGCTGAAGCTGAATATAGAGGAGTTGCCAATGCAGTTGCTGAGTCTTGTTGGCTTCGGAATCTGCTCCTCGATCTTCACCTTCCTCTTCGACGTGCTACTATTGTCTATTGTGATAACATCAGTGCTGTATATCTGTCCAGTAATCCTGTGCAGCATCAACGAACAAAACACATTGAGATTGACATTCATTTTGTCCGAGAACGCGTGCACATGGGCGACATTCGAGTTCTCCATATCCCTGCCGAGTATCAGTATGCTGACATCTTCAC